GTCCTCACCTGCTCCTCCGGCTGGGCCTCCCCGGGCGAGTCTGGCCTGTGGGAGCCCGGCTGCCCCGGCCCTTATACGGCCCCCACCCCGCCCTGCCCCTCCCCAGACAGGATTAGCCCCCAGGCCTCCGGTGGGCCCCCTTCCGGTCCAGTCGAGGCCTCACAAAGCAAGTGAAATGGGCTTCCAGGGGGCCCTGCCCATGACCCCCACCCCGGGTGCAGACAGCGGGGAGCCTGTGTCCCGTCTCCCGTGGGTCCCCCCTTTTGAAATGCTCTTCAAGGGCTTTGCTTGCACAAGCAGGTCACTCCCTGGAGCGCCCAGGGAGTAGGATGTGTGGGTCTGCTCAGGGGACAGGGCTGGGGTGGAGTCCACCCCAATGTGTCATGGATGGTCAGGGCCCACCTCCCGGCTGCGTCGTGTCCCCACGGTGTGGCGGGCATGTGGGGGCCTGGGCACTGCCTGGCCTGACCCACTCTCCTCGCTCCGGTCCCCCTGGACACCCACCCAGGCAACCTGCTCCTGAGCCTCTGGGCTCAGGGTGGGGGGACCCAGCGGAGGTCAGAGGGTGCCCCTGGGGGATACCGGGCCTTGCTGGTGCCCGCTGGCCCCTGTGGGGGGCCGGTGTCGGAGCCTGCAGAGATCCTTGCCCGCTGGGGTGAGAAACCCTGAAGGTTGCAGGGGGTCCCCCGGGCGTCTAGGGACTCGCCAGCAGGTACAAGTGCCCGCTAGGGCAGGGCCAGGTCCGCCCACCCCTCTGTGAGGCGGGGTGCAAAAGGCGCCTCACAGCGCCTGGGAGGTGCGCCCGGGAGGCTGCCCAGGCCCCGAGTGCTCAGCAGTTGCTGCAGGACAGCGCGGCGGCCGCCCAGAGCTGACAGGGAGCGTGCGTGGTGCTCCTCAGGCTTGGCTCAGCGGGGCTCGGCGCCTGGCTGCCCCCGGCGGGGCGCCCCGGCCCTCGTGTAAGCGGGGCCGGGGCCCTGGTGGGTCAGGTCCTCGGCCTGACCGGCCGCCCAGACAGCAGGGGACGGTTGGTGGACACCGCGGCCACCCCATCGGGGGCTCCGACCTTGGGAACTTTCTGTTTTAAAGGTTTATTTATAGATGCACACAGAAGTGGGGTGCTGGCCAGAGGTGCAGGGGTGAGAGACTGCCCAGAGACAGCGTGGGGAGCAGAACAGGCCCCCAGACGAAGTCCACTGCTGAGGGCAGCAGGGGGTAGGTGGGGTCTGCTGGCCCTGGGGTCGCTTCCCGGCGGCCCCTCGTGCTGACAGCGCTGACAGGCTGCGCCTCCAGGGGCCCTTGGGGACCCGCCGGCCCAGCGTGCACACGCCTCGGGGGAGAAGGGGCCTGTGAGCACGCTGCTCCCCGCAGGCCGCGCCGCACCTCCGCGTTTCCTCGCGTGGGCCCGGAAGGCGCCCGCGGTGCCGGGGACGCTCGG